CGAGCGTGAGAGGTTTCAGGATCTGGACGAGCGTGAGAGGTTTCAGGATCTGGACGAGCGTGAGAGGTTTCAGGATCTGGACGAGCGTGAGAGGTTTAGGATCTGGACGAGCGTGAGAGGTTTAGGATCTGGACGAGCGTGGGAGGTTTGTGAATCTGGACGAGCGTGAGAGGTTTCAGGATCTGGACGAGCATGAGAGGTTTCGGGATCTGGACGAGCGTGAGGTTTCAGGATCTGGACGAGCATGAGAGGTTTCAGGATCTGGACGAGCGTGGGAGGTTTGTGAATCTGGACGAGCGTGGGAGGTTTGTGAATCTGGACGAGCGTGGGACATCGCCATCTTGGATAGTTTTAAACCAAACGTTTCTGTATAAAAGCCGATCATACCAAGTAAAACTGGACCTGGATGGTATCCAACATGAAAAACTAAAAACAGCTAAAGATGCTCCAGAAGGGGGAGGTAAATGAAATGAAATAAACTAAGGTAATATTTGGTTAGATCTTATATAAAATCAAAGGAATTTGATTTCGGCCAATCACAGAAGTGTTCATGAATCCAAACATTATGGCAGGAAGAGACAAACGAAAACTTGGAGGTATTTAAAGAAAGTTCTCCAAATGTACATGTATAAGTAAATGTTTCATCACGTCATTTCCACATTGGTAGAGATTCAGGCCACTATTTCTGCCCTTTAATTGGGTGCTAAATGGTGGAACTGGTGGAGTCCCAGTAGCAGACTGGTTCAGACCGGCTCAGTTCCTTTAGAGGCGTCTTCCTGCTTACCTTGCTGAACGAACGCTCCATAAACGATCCAGATGGCGCTGTGCAGCGTGCCGGACCCCACTTCATTAGTAAGATGGCCTGGTGGTGCATTCTGGGAGGAAGAGGAGCGCAGAGCCTGCAGCCTGTTGAGCAGGAAGATGAGGACTCCCACTACTGGGATGGCAGCAGCAATGCAGGCCCATACTGCCAGGTCGAAGGGGGCGAACAGGGAGAAGATGTTGATCTTCTCCTCAGGCTTTCGCAGAAGGATGCCAACGCTGTAGTCAAGGTAACGCTTGCTGAAGTCGACCACGTTTTCCCTCTCTGGTGTGATGGTGATGGCTGACACCGCCAGGTCGGCTCTCTGCAGGAGGAGAGGTGGCAAAGAAAATAAAAGGATGGTCTAATCTGGACAAACTGCTTTATGCTTTTATATGCAGAGACACCAGTGCTGAACATCTCATTGCTACAACACAGCTCCACATTCACCACGTTCTTTATTTATATAATTCACTGGTTAATAAATAACCGGCTTTGATTCTGAATAAATTAATTTATTTTTCCTCTAGTTCCAGCAGCTGCTTCAGGCCTTTGGCTGCAGCACAGTTAAATAAAAACCTGGGAAGCTATGCCTGGTTGTCCTTCATGCAGTGGTTTAAAATGGAGACCCTGAATGTGGTCTAGCTTCACCTTGTTGATGAGATCTCCGATCATCCCGTTCCAGGAGCCATTGGGAAGCTGAGAGCCGTATTTGCTGTCTGCAACCTGAGGAGGAACAAAGCATGTCTTTCATTTTGCTCACTTCCTGTAAACATTGGTCAAACCTGCATTAATAGTTCAATTATATTTAGAAACCTTTGTGGCCGTGTGGACGTCTACAGTCACAAACATAACGGCACATGGTTGCGGTTTGTCACTCTTTCTGACTACAACAACTCAGGGCAACAACACTGTAATCTTCAAGACTCAAACTATTGCTTTTAGACTCCCCTGCCTCCTTTTAAATTATTTAGCATAATTTAACATCAGTTCTCATGTTTCACTAAAATTGTGAAGATCTTTGTTCTTATATTTTCTGCAGCTCCTCAGTAAAACGAAGTAAACGGCTCAAACAACTAAAGAAAGCAGGAGCAATGATGACTTCAACCCTAAACTGGTTTGACTTTGCAGGCGGAGATCCCACATGCTTTTCCTGATAGTTTTGCATCTAAGTACAGTCTGTGTCACCATGGTAACCCCTCGGTCAATGTGTGTTTTCCTGTGTGGAGGCCATTCTAGGTGACATAGTCTAACCGTCTTCATGGGCTCATGGTGGACAGTTAGCACAGCTCTGGGACTGATGGCTAGCATGCTCCAACACTGCAGCTGTCAAACAAACCTCAGACTTCCTTTATTGTGATTGCACAGAAAACACAGGGTGAATCTTCACAACGAAATGTTGATTACTTGGCTACCAGTGTAACAAAGCTGAGACCTTATTCCTGCACAATCAATATGTTTTCTATGAGTAGGAGCTAGCTATATACAGGGTTATGTGGCGTTAAGCCGTCTGATGGCCAGGGGAAGAAACTGTTCAGTAGCCTGGTAGTTCTGCAGAACCTTCTGCCGGACGCCGGGGGGGAAAACAGTCCATGGTTGGTGTTGGTGGGGTCGGGGAGGATCTGATGAGCCCGCAATGTTCTTGATGCAGGGGAGCGGCGCCCCACTAACAACTATTTGAAATTGCTGCATTAACATTTTAGCAGGTTTGACCAAACTTTGAATAAATTTATGGTTTTCCTCAACATAAGATCCCCTGTTTTTTGTCAAAGTGTTCTTTTCATTTTTAACAGTCTTTAAAAAAGTTTCAGAGTTTTTTCTCTCCTCCATTACATCATTTGCATATTTTTCAAATATGTGAAAAGCTAATAGTTCTTCTTATGAAAGAGTTGATTAAAGCAGGAAGCAGCCTGGTGTGCTTCTTGAGCTGACCTGATAGATCTCATATTTAAAGCCCAGGATCTTAGCGAGGGCATCCAGCACGTCAATTGAGAATCCTTTATATCTCTTGGGCTGCCCGAGGATGTTCTCTGCCACCATGACGAAAGGATCCTCCTGCAGGAAGTCAGCCAGAAAGAGAGGCGGGTTATTAAAGATAAAAACAGCAGCTGGAGACATATTAAAGCTTCACCGTTACAACTGGAGTCAAAGAAATTGGACGGGATATTGTGATGTATACTGTAAAAAAAAAACAAGGTGTGCCTTGATGTTGGCGTTGCTACTTGGCAGCACTGACACCTGGAAGTGTTGCAGCTGCAGGCATTGAACTCTAGGAAGAAGGAGGGGAGGGGTAGCCTAGTGGTTAGGGCATAGAGCTTGGAAATCAGAGGTTCTGAGTTTGAGTCCCACTCCCACAGACTGCCACTCTGGGTCCCTGAGCAAGACCCTTAACCCCACCCTGGGTGCTGCACAATGGCAGCCCACTGGGGTTAAATGCAGAGAGTGAATTGTGTTGCTCAGTATTTGTGACAGTGGAATGACAATAAAAGCAGTTATATATATATATATATATATATATATATATATATATATATATATATATATATATATATACATACACACTAGTGTTCAAAAGTTTGGGGTCACATTGAAATGTCCTTATTTTTGAAGGTAAAGCTCTGTACTTTTCAATGAAGATAACTTTAAACTAGTCTTAACTTTAAAGAAATACACTCTATCCATTGCTAATGTGGTAAATGACTATTCTAGCTGCAAATGTCTGGTTTTTGGTGCAATATCTACATAGGTGTATAGAGGCCCATTTCCAGCAACTATCACTAGTGTTCTAATGGTACAATGTGTTTGCTCATTGGCTCAGAAGGCTAATTGATTAGAAAACCCTTGTGCAATCATGTTCACACATCTGAAAACAGTTTAGCTCACAGGTCCCCAACTGGCATGTTCTGGGATTCTGGGCTTCAGGGTAGTGTGGCAAAGAAAAAGCCATATCTGAGACTGGCCAATAAAAGAAAAAGATTAAGACGGGCAAAAGAACACAGACATTGGACAGAGGAAGACTGGAAAAAAGTGTTGTGGACGGATGAATCCAAGTTTGAGGTGTTTGGATCACAAAGAAGAACGTCTGTGAGATGCAGAACAATGAAAAGATGGATGCCTGACGCCATCTGTTAAGCATGGTGGAGGTAATGTGATGGTCTGGGATTGCTTTGGTGCTGGAATCCACCCCAATCCAGTATCCAAAGACTATAGACTAAGAGCACATAAGGAAGCAGAGGCTTTGCGAGCATCAGAGCCACCATTGAAGATCTAACATCCAAGCTTCAAGAACACACCAGGAAGAAGCTGCTTAGTGAATGTCTCAGATAGTGGAAGCTGGAAATTAAGGAACTGCAAAAATCATGGGAGAAAAAGACGCTGCTTTGGCTGCACCACAGACAGATAGCTGAAGTGGCTGATATGACAAAATTTACCAATGGCTAGAAAAGTTCAAGAAGGACATCACAGAAGCACTGATCATGGAAGCAGAGGATCAGGCCTTGTGCACCAGAACAACAGAGGCCCAGATCAACCAAAGCAGGAAATATCCAAGGTTCAGGCTATGGAAAGACACAATCCAGCACTTCACAGCGGGAGGAACATACTGCCAGGACAGGATTAATGGAACGTCTTACTGACTGGTAATGGGAACAGAATCTAAACTGGGAGAATTGGAGCCCCCTCCCCAGGTTATGAAGAATGACAGAGCTGAGATCCCGTGGGACTTCCAGATAGAAACACACTGAATGGTTGTAACTATGCAAACGGACATCATGATCATTGATTAGCAGCAGAGGATGGCCGTAGTGATGGATGAGGCCATCCCAATGATGGAAACATCAGGAAAGGAGAGCAGGAGAAACAGGAGAAGCACCGAGGCCTCTGGGATGAACTAGAGAGAGCCTGGAAGGTGAAGGCAGCTATGGAGGCCGTGATCATTGGAGCAGTGGGGGCAGAAAACCCCACACTGAAGGACGAGATGCTCCAACAGAGACCTGGAGAAACATCAGAGACCTCAGTCCAGAAATGAGCAGTTCTAGAGACAGCTGAGATACTGAGAGGAACCAGAGGAACAGTGCACCAACCACCCACCCAGGAGGATGAGGGGAGGGGTAGAGAGATGTTTTTTTTAAAATATATTTGTCTTCTTCCGTGTGTTGGGATATATTGCCAAAATGGAGCTAAAATCAGTTGGATGAACCACCTGAAATTATCCCCCTTTTCTTTTCCACAAAGAAGAACAAAGGATTCCTGGAAAAATACTGTAGCGGCCCACGGTGGGAGGCGGTGACCTCAGACACGGACCAATCAGCTGATGAATAAAGCTGATGCTTCAACAGGAAGTGCCCCCATGTCACTCATGGTTTAAACCCAGCGCGCAAACTTTATCTTTCTCTTTTCCATTGGTGCCACTGCCCAAAAGGGGAGACCTATTTCACGTGAAACACAGAAGAAAGCTAATTGGAAGTAGCTTTCGTTTCTCCTGCGTCAAAAGTCACTGTTTGCAGTGTTCCATCGTGCATAGCGGCTGCGCCAACTGGGGAGACAGAATCCTTTGAAGCTGACTGCTGAGTGGAGGGTGTTTTCCCCATTTTTGTAAGGATCGGCAGGGGGGGACGCTTCCCGCCGATTACTTCCACAAAATCAATCTTCCTCCAACTAAGAGAACATCAAGCCCTGTGCTGTAGCACCGAACTGACTGAACTTTCCTGAGAGCGGATCCGGTGTTGAAGAACCTCTGCGCGGCCGGAGCCAGGCCACGTGTTCCCTCAGAACCCCCGCTCCTTCACGGACCGAAGGCAACTCACAGTAAATCAATTTCCTTTCCTTTTGATGCATTAATGAGAGAGACAGGTAGATTCAGGGATTTGAATTAATGCTGATTGTTCTTTTCATCTATGTGGGAAACAAAAATTCTGGTTCATTTGGTTGAAGTAAGTGTGCAGTGAAAGCTGCAAGGGATATTTCTTTCTTTTCTTCTCTCCTTTCCTATCTTCTTTTGTTTCTGCTTTAAGATAGTTACAGAATTATTACATTCAACGGCGTGGGGCCACGTGGTTGGGGCCATTTTACCACCGATCATTCACCCCCCCCCTTTTTTTTTCTTCCTCTTATCACATGAAAGGGGGTCCCTCATTCGGTTGCATGCCTTTCCCACACACATGCATACTGCTCTGTTGATGCTGTTTTCCTAAAACGACTTCTGCTGCTGTTTGTTAATGCATGTTAATCATTTACCATTTTTAAGCTGAATGTATTAATTTTATGTTGATTAATTGCACTGTTCTCATCATACCTGCTGCTATTCTAACGGACATTAGTGAATGTATTAACATCTGGCCTATCCTGGACAATCTCAGAAGCCTGTTAAACTCACTCCTAGGGGTTTATTCTTTTTTTTTAATTCTTTTTGTTTCTTTAAACTAGTCACTTAATCTACCTCATGTTTATTTTTCTAATAGTGTGTAGTGTTTGCATAGATGTTAGATTTTCTGTAATCCTGAATTATTAGAATAAAGACGTCATTGTTTAACTTGTAGTAGTTCTGTGTTTCATATAGCGGACGATATATCACTCAGGTCAGATCCACCCCCCCTTTGGTAATAGTGCGAATAAACAGAGATAAAAGGTTCTTTATTGATAATTAATAGCTCTGCTGACAACTTAGCCTGGGCCACTAGATTGGTGGAGACCTGGATTTTAACAGCCGGTCCAGGAACCCTCCAGAGGTGAAACAGCAATTCCTGGTAAGCAGGTAATTTAAAGCTACAATTATTCAACTAAGAACGCTAAATTGATTTAACCTCCATTTTTGAATAGGTTAAATAATTAACTATAACTCCAGAGCTAGTTAATCATTCATCCATTATCTGCAGGATATTATTTTGCACAACACGTGCTTCACTCACCAGCAGTGTGACCACTTTGACCGTCAGCCCCTGCATCCCGCTCTCTATCCGACTCTCCTTCAGACTCCCGTTTAGTCCGTGAACTGAGTCCCATGTCGCCAGCTGCAGAGAGAACAGAGACGAAGCAGCTTGTAAATGAAAAGTTTCAGCTTTCAGGCTTCAGTGACATCCTGCTGGGTCTAATCACGCCGTTTTTTAAGTCTGACCACACAGTGAAACTATGAATTATGGAGCGCTGCAATTTGACAGTTTCTTCACTCATCTCCTTGACTTTCGTGTGGCCCACTCCTCTTCTGAGAGACGGAGACACAACGTGGCCAGAGAACATCAACAGACATCTGAGCAATGTGCCTACAACCCACTACAACCAGGAAACCACACTGACCTGTTTGGTCACATGTCCTTTTCAATCACCTCATGGAGCAAAGACACCATCTTTAGCCTGAATGTGACTCTGAGAACAGGATGATCAGCCTTCATCATAAATCAGAATAATAAACCCTTTCCTCTTTTGAAGTCGTATTTTTCACCAGTTCTGCTGTGGGCTGCTCGTCCCTTACAGTGTCTGCCCAAAACAAAGTCCAGCAGCAGAATGTAAGCTGGAGAAGAAAAGCGAGAAAAAAAAAGTAAAATTAATGTAATTCAACTCACAACCTGCCAATAAAAGCAGCAGCGATTTCTTTCTAAACTAAAGACCCATCCAGGCTCATTGACCTCCCTCTGGCCGTTACTGAGGGCAGCTGATGAGTTCACGCTGCACCACAATGCTAAAGAACATTTCAGTAACTATGGAAACATACAATCGTGTTTTTCTCCATCTGTGAGGAATCAGAGGGTTTGTTTCTAAATGAGAGTTTCCACAGGGGAAACGCATGCAGGTTCATTGTTTCACTGGGACTCATATGGAGGAATATCTGCTTCTCCTCACAGCAGCCATTCATGCTGAAAGCTTCGTTTTCACTTTTTTTTAGAAATAACAAAAAACATCTTTTGATGAAACAGACTAAAATAAATGCAGACAAGACCAAGAAAATCTTTAGAAAAAAGTTTCACATGAAAGGTCTTCAGCGAAGGCCGACCAATCATGACCTCATGAGGTCTGCAGCAGAAGCGGAGGCAGGAGAGACGATCCCAGGAGAACCAGAGGAACAAAGAGATCTTCTATTTACCCCCAAACTTCATTTCATATTCCTCTTCCATCTTCACCTCATCTACTTTCATTTTTATATCTTCATTTTTTCATAATTTCCAAAAACCATGAACTTTGTTTTTTCCAGGTTTAAGGACAGTTTTTTCTCCAACACTGTTTACATTTGATCACTGCTGCACTTTGTGGAAATGTTTGTTTCTCTGCTAAGCTGCTGCTCACCCATCTGAAAGCTGAACAGAACAAAATGTTGTTTTGTTTGCACTGTGTGCACAAAACAGCAATACAAGTTTGTCTAAGTCTAAAGTACATATTAGCAAAGCTACCACTTCACCATTACAGATCAAGGATTAATTACCATTATTTCAGATCAATTCCTGCAAAAGTTGTCAGAATATTTGAAGTTATGGAGTCCTAATGCTGCTCCCAGTAGATATTAATACATTTCACTTATAGGAACCAATCACTGACCTAAACATACCAAATTAGGTTGATAACTAAGAATTCAATAGATAATCACCATGATTTCTTATCACAAAGAGGCTCAAACATGTTCTGCATCACAGGCTGTGGCATTGGAGGATAAAATCTATCAATAAGTATTCTTAATGTTTATGATCCACTGGAAAATAAAAGATGATCCTCTATACCTTTAAGAGGTTAACTGGACTATTTGGAGCTAAATATTGCATGAATGAACAATAAGCTCCGACCTGAGCCTATCCAGCATCTAGACTGCCACAGGTTGGAGCAGGTAGGATTCATGTGGACTTTAGTGCTGCACAGGATCTGGTGTTGTCTGGACTCAGCCCGGTCCAGATGTTCCAACACCTGCTGAACCAACATGGGAGCCAAACAAAACTGTAACAATGGACCCTGACTTCTTAAAGCAATGCCATTAGGAACCGTTGAATAACTGCTGCAGAGAATTCTAAGGTTTTCTCATGTTCTATAAATCCTTGTTTATGTGATGAAGTCTCCTTGCTGTGGTCTGATCTCCAGGAGGCTCCTAATTGAAGGCTGTCCACCACTGGCTTCCTGCATGAGCAACAGGAAGTCTTTAGAAGTTCAGAGGAGATTCCAAAAGACTGGCCTCCTTTTCTTTTTAATCACAGCCATAGATAAACCAGGACATGGTCTTCAGCTGTAATCCTCCTGGTGTTGAGCCTTTCTGAATCCCTGGCCTTGTAGATGAAGGTCAACGTTACTCTTTAGTTGCAGATCCGGAGTCTGCTGATGGAAAACCTCTGTGTTTGAGTTCCAGTCTGTTTCGAAAGGTCCAGGATCCCAGCCGTCTATTGACAGCTCTTCATACCTTACTCCTCAGCGATTTCTCTTTTTCATTTCACAAATTGAAAACACACAGCTTACAAAGCCAACATGTCGTCTCTTTATAACAAATTAACACATTCTTAGAGACAGAACAAAAGCCTTTTTTGTTCTGGGTTGGTGGTAAATCCCTGAGACTGAAGAGTTTCGGATAAAACTGAAGCTGGAATGGAGTTCATGTCTCCAGATCTTGAAGTCCTTCCTGCTCCCCCCATCACTTCATGTTGCACACTGCCTTGCAGAGGTCAAGCAAATGCGAGGAAAAAACTCCATATCACTCGTTCATTATTCCTGAACCCCCCCCATAAACCCCCTATAACTCACTTTCCCATGGACAGCAGATGGAAATGGCAGCTACTGGCTCCCCCGCCTGCCCCACTGACTCCTGGCCTCAGTTTCCCTTCCTTTAAGTTCACACTTTCACCTCCTCTTCCTCCTCCCTTTGATTGGTGCTTTAAAATGACTTTTGGAGGGTGTGAGTTACAGCTCCAAGCCCTCATCACTCGGCTGTCACTGCATTAGATTTGCCCCAGAGATCACCTGTCAGAGCGACAGCGTGGGCCGCGGCTGCAAAGTCTTCTTCTCTTTTGTGCCGATTAAATCTCTGTGCTTTATGCTGTCTTAAACAGTTGTTATCTGGTCCTAATTTACAGAGCTGTCCGATAAACTGACTGTTCCTGCCTGAGTAAAAGCAGAACTTACATTTATTCTTCCTGTTTAGTCAATACCAGGAATCAGAGGCTTACTGTTTGCAGATGAGTTCAATGAGTTGAAGCTCATTTGGCTAAAATGATAAATGGAGAATAATGAGTAATTAGCTGTGAGGAAGCTACAGGGTTAGCTAACGATGATGGGCCAAGGACAATCTGCTCTACTGCTTTAGAGTGAAGAGGAAGAAAGGATCTGCGTTTTGCAGAGCTGTGAAACTGATGGACTGGTCTGACCGAGAACAGCCTGATGTGATCTGAAGATTTTTCAGCTAACATCTGAATCTGCTGGAGAGTTCATAGCCTGATACTTTAATGTATTTACCGCACAGATCAAGCCTTAGCAGGCAACAATCCCGCTTGTAACCTTAGGCATTACTACTTTTTATTAAAAATTAAACAAGTAGAAATAATTATGCTAAAACATGCCATATTTTTAAAAAATAATCTAATAATTACTTTGAAGCTCTAAAGGAATCCTACCTAGTTTGGAAAAATAGTTTTCTGCTGTATAAGAGGACCCTTTGTAAAGCAAAAGCAGCATATTTCTCCTCATTAATAGAGGAGAATAAGAATAATCCTAGATTTCATTTTAATACAGTTGCCAAACTCACCCAGAGCCATAGCTCTGTTGAACCGTCCATTCCACCGGCTCTTAGCAGGAATTATTTTATGGAATTCTTTATAAATAAGATTGATTCTATCAAAAATAAGATCATTAGCACTCCCCTTTCCGCGATTGGTTTGTCTCTGGAGGG